GCTCCGACCGTTTGCTGTCGAGAAGGTGGGGATGCTGCTACTGCCAGCGGCACGTTCTGTCTTTTCTTTAGCCGTGGCATTCATTGAATCCATCGTCAGTCAGGCCAGTCTATCCTGGCACCTCTGTATCAACTATCTGACTCTTGGCGCTGTTGTTCAAGCTGAGACCCTTCTGCTTTTTCGCAGTTGTTGTATTGATACGACGCTTCCCTCGGCTGCTGTTGCTGCTTCTTCTTTGATCAGGGGGAGTGGAATTCACCGCAGCTTTAGCACTACCTTGTCATTGTACCATATTTGCCTTCGTTGCCTGTGTTCTTCTTTCCTGCAATGAAGATGAGAAAGAAGTCGAAAAGCGAACGAGCGAGCGAGCCGGCCGGCCAGCCAGTCAGCCAGCCAGCCAGCGACTACTTGCCATTTGGATATGCGTGGCAACGGCGCTGTGTGAACGCGCCTTGCCATTCAGCACGTCTGTTTGTCTGTCTGTCCGTTCTGTCAGAGCCATTACTTCAGAGTAGACGAGCTAGGCGACCAGCTGATTTGTTCGTCTTCTGCACTTCGATGGCGGCAGCAATAGCGACAATAGCATCACCAGTGGCAACAGCTTAGAAGGGACCGCTGGGGGTCTGAGGTCCAAGTTAGCGGAAAGAAACGGTTTTGGCCTCGATTTCACTTTTATTTGCTGGGCGACAAGCGAAGCGGGAGAATGCTGAAGGGAGACCAACAAGCAAAAGAGTGACGATGAAAAATAAGTAGAAAAAAAGCACTGAATAAACCGCGACTGAGGCAGTAGCAAACGCCACATAGGATCTTCTCGTGCAAGAGCAGAAATAAAATAGAGAGCTTAACGAAATAGATAACTGCGCGAAAAATAGCCAGACGACCTGCACACAAGCGCACATCAAATGTACCTATTACTTCAACAACATCGGCGTAATTTTTGTGCCAGCAAAACGTAAGAGGCGGCTCGTGATTGTGACAGCTATAAAAAATAGATAATGGCTAAAATAGTAGCAAATACACCCCACGGGGAACAAAAGTAAAGCGATGAATATTTTTCTATTGACGTTGACAACTTAGCAAGTTTTGTTAGTCCTTCAGTCAGAATTGTTTACGTTTAGAAACGAGATAATCAAGAAATCTGGATAGTGTGGTCGCACAGCTCTTCACTCAGATTACTCCTGAATAGGATCTTGCGACACGTACCACGACTGGCGGAATAAAATGGAACGAACACTCCGCTGGGTCGAGTTGACGTTATTCCGTTATTTACTTTGTTGATCGTTATTTACAGATTTAACTGGCATCTCAAATCTGTACGCCATGAAATGTATCGAGCTTCGGTAACTACTGAAGATACAATATTCGTGTTCGTCACCATCTCGTCTATATAAAAGAACCAGAGTGCAAGAAACTCGAGAGCGACTAGTTTTCTATTGCATCCAGCACGCAAACTTTGGAAAAGGAGCGCTTACCTGCAATTACTTAGGATCCGTACATTGATCGACATATCTTAACAGCCTCTGAGTGCCTGTTACCCTTGGACGTCTGTTTCTTATGGACCTATTTATATCTTTGCCTTCCTTGGCTTCTGGAGGGCGCACAAAGTGTTTCCGAAGGCGCTCAGAGGCCCCCGCGTCTCGTTCTTCGCTGGCTTCATTGTAGTCACTAGCGTCGTTAATAACTAAAGACGAGATCTCTTATGAGAATTTGCAACTGCTACTATTGCCGTTCGTTACAACCAGGTCCACTTGTTGGTTTGTTGAACCGATGTCCATCTCGTTGTTACCGTTGTTGTGAATTGCCCCTGCCCACTTTGCGCTACCATTTGTTGTATTGGTTGTGCTTTGCCATGTTTGTCCTGTTCAATTGCGGACCCTCTTAGCTGCACCGAAAGCTGCTACCTACGACTATGAGAAGCTGCAGCAGCAGCAGTAAACCTGTAACATTGGAGGCTGCGCCATCACCCACGAGCAAATACTCGTGCTTGTGGTCGTCGTCACCAGTGGCCACTCTCTCGAAGGCGTTTGTTGATCGCTAGCGACACATTACTCGCGTGTAGCTGTCGCTCACGCCTTTCTATCTATACTCGTCCACACTCAGCGAATTGATAATTATCTGAGAAGACTAGGAAATTATCATAGCCGCAATAAAAGCCACCTATTCAGTAGTAATAATACTTCTAAAGTTACCGCCAGAAACATCGAAAAAAATAATACAATCGCTAAATCCATAAACAGCCGCAGTGTCAGTAACCAAAGTATTGATGTTATTGAATAAGTGATTCCTTTGTTTATTTCATTAATATGGCAAGGCTGCTAAATCTAGGTACGATGTTTCCATTTGACTAAGGAGTTTCGCGTTTCTCGTATCTAGCCTTTCTTCATTTCATCGAATTAATGAATTGTTAGATGTATTACAGTTTGTTTTAACTAACTTGACGAAGCTACATAAAAGGAAGTATTTATTTAGTGTGAATAACATAAAACACTCGACTCGGACTGAGCTAGAGACAAAAAAAAATTTTCACGTATTCCCTATCGCAACCCTGGCCAACTTAGATAAACAGCCGGGTATATTTCAGGTATTTCCGCCTGCAGTGCTGCTGGCTAATATTATATAACAACTTCTGGCTTCGTTATACAGAATCTGTAGTATAATGAAGATAGCTAACTAAGATACAGGTGGCGAGTGGAGGTACAGGACGAGAAACCCATTTTACAATGGTCTAGTCTTCAGCGACAGAGGGCAACCATTCATACTTTGTTTTGGTATGCGGCCAGTTGTCGCAACGTTATATATATATATATATATAAAGAGAGCGAGCAAGAGAAGGACAGAGACAACGGCGAGAACGAGCAAATAATAGACTCTATATGCTGTCACGAAAGCATATTATACCCATCCGCTAGAGATTGTACTCGAAGGGAAGGCCGAGTCTGATGGACACCATGCAGTGCCCTGCTTAGCTATATTATAGAACGTAAATGTAATATAGGCACAGGACGGGCTACGCAAGCAGATAGGCCGGGTTGATGTAGCAGGCCGTGTAGTTGGGTTTGCCCGAGTTGCCTGCTTGCTGGCTTGGCCGATCCGTCGGCCGGTCGTTGAACCTTGAATGTTAGACCTGTCCGTGCTGGGCTCTTTTCCTCCCTCATCAATCCATTTTGGCCTTCTCATATCTGTCACGAATAGCCAAAAGAGCAAGGCACAAGACGGTTGCACGACCGACGCCGTCGGGGCAAGCAGACGGCCACCAACTTGGCAATGACGCTGATGACATGACACAGCACAACGATTCGATAGGAATCGATGTCGTGCCTGCCGTCGGTAGCCCTTGTGCGCATGTTTCAGAATGCTGCTAAGTCAAAGACATCGCGGACGCACTTTGTTTCTCCAATGCATGAGCGGTGAAAAGCTCTTCAGCTTCTTTCGTTCTTGTTCAACTGCTTTACAGCTGCTGCATCTAGTTACTGGCATCGTAGCACACAACATTTAGGCGGCACCGACGTTAGTCATAGCGCTTGGAGATTGCCCTTCCTAGGCTAGAAAAGAAAGAAGAAGAATCTATTTTAGGCTACGTTTGCCGTGGGCCTGCACATGCAGTAGAGTATACCCTATCTGAAAGGAATTCGACACAAAGCAGTGTAAAATAAGTCGAAAAAGTTAACCGCATTTAATATTCGATTCGCGAAACATAGAGCGAAAATAAGGTCAAACAAGGCCAATTTAGTTATTTAGGAAAGACAAGCGGCTCAAAAAATCTCACAGACGAACAACATGGAGCATGTTTTCACATCGGCCACTACACCGCACTGTCTTCGATGTCGTGGGCAAGCGTTCGAATTGTCGGTGCTCCTTTTAGCGAAAGATAATCTAATTTACCTGCTTTGAAAAAAGCATTCGACGAGCCTATTATTTCAGATGTATTTGTCTGAATAATAAAAACCAACGTAATCGATAGAGTTTCCACAGTACAGGGTCAACATTTTTGCCCGAAAACGTTCTTGAGCATTAAAAGGTAAGCTAAGGATTACTGAGCTGCTGGCAAAAGTCGACGTTTAGGCCTCGCAAGAACCGCGCGAAACGTTTACACGAGGAGGAGCTACCCTTGCCACCACGTCCGTATCGAAGATTAGATACTTACGGGAAATCGATGTGAATCGCTGGAGGTCGGAATTTTATAAAAAAAAAAAAAAGTAGCGTTCAGGGTTCTTTTAAGAGTGGCACAGACTTTGGACTCAAGCTATGAAAATAGATCTTTAGAAAAAATACAAACGTCAACATTTTTCTTTCTTTTTCCGCCTTCTACACATGGTTGGTCTTGAAAGCGTATTCTAGCATGGACACTCTGTAGTACGCTTATGAAGTATGCGACGATCCAGTAGACGATAAGGCACTCACCTGTAGTGTTGTATGGTCCCTCTGCTAAGAACGTTTTGTTCTAATTTATTGTCAAAACTCAGAAATATGAGTCCTATGTTTGGCACAATTATCTATCGTTACAACTATTAACATTAGGCCGCAGGAATACTAATTTCAAGAAGCATCGATAGATCACTTTGCTTCTGCCTGTAGAAATTTCAAATGTTTCTTCAGCTTTCTCCTTTTTTTGCAGATGTTTACTTTTCAGTCGTTGCTCATATGGAGAGCATGATAGTCTCGTAATTTATTACGTTCTTCTTTGTCACTCAGGCAATGATATTCGAAGTAAGACGATGACCAAATTTCTCTGAGAGACAGATTGCAATAGAGACGACAGTACAAGCTGCACAATACCTACACAAGCCAATCCCCCAATCGCAACTGATGCAGTACAGCAACTGCCTGCCGTATTACTGAAGTCTGTACATTGGGGTGTATATTTACCGCCAATGCACCGACTTTCGTGATAAGAGAGTAAGCTAGCTCTTTGTTTCGTTATAACACCACTAACTTAGACAAGAATCTGTGATAAATAGGACGTCGTTCACCCATTTTTTCGCAACAAAGACTAATGCCTATCCATGCTGCCATAACCATGTATTTTTCCGCTCGCTTAAAGGAATATCTACTGTTACATGGCAAGAATCACTGGGTAATGTCATCCAATATCTACTCTTGTTTTTGGATAAATCGGGTGTGGCAAACAACTGTTTATACACTGATTAGAATTGTTTTTTACTTGTACGTCTAATGTCATTCGTAGAAAGTGTACCACCTATCTGTTTCCATATTGTATTACAAAGGCACATGTCCACATAGTAGGCGCACTAAACGTAAATATTATTATCTAAACAATTCGTTACAAACAAAGGGTGCATATAGGATCATAATGATATTCATTGTATAGCGGGCTTGTGATCCACCACGGGTAGACGTTTTGATAGACTTTATAAGTTCTGGTGAGCTTTTTTTAATGCTGAAACTTTTTTTTTGTGTTAGTAACGTTTGGAACGATAGTACGAACTGATTAGCAAAGAGAATGCGTTTTGGTAACAAGCACAAATCCCGTTTTAGTCCAGCAGTATACTGCGTATTTTTAGAGCAGAAATCTAGAGACATACGACTGCTTTAGTAGCGGCGGCGGCGGCGGCGGCGGCCGCGGCATTGCTTCAAATCATTTTTGTCGACATGAATGTAGACCAATAATATCATGGGCAATGTCTTCCTTGTTCGAAATAATTACCAATTTCTTCAGAGTAATTTACGCTAGCAATATCAGCAGCTCTTAATTTATAAAGAAGAACGCGCCTTCCTACATACATAAATAATGATGATATTATGACATTAGCGCAATATTGGGCCGATAATTACAGGTAGATTCACATTGATGCATCGATATTAACCTACATACATCTGACAACATGGCTATCCTTTCCGAATATAGGTAACGCATCTGGCAGGCAGACGATGCTACAGGTTGGCGAAGCAGTGTGTAGCTATATTCGGATAGCGGCAATAGCAAAACTGGTCTAATATCCCATCAGTGGTCAGAAATGATAGCGGTTAACAATAAGATAAACAAGCAGAAAACTAAAAGCTTTAGACAAGAAACTAGCACCTACGATTCGCTATTTTCATCTAATAGAATAACAAAATAATAAACAATAAAAAAAACAAAAAAGGTTGCGACAAGATAATTAAACCTGTTCGGGAACCTATGTAGAACCGGGTCGAGCATGTCGCCAGCAACGGCTGTGCATGTTTCCAGTAATCCGAATCATACGCAAGTGGTACTTATTGCGTATTTCCAATTTCCCAGCGACTCGTTTACGCTTCCGCCAGGCGGATCGTGACGCGTCGTCTCCGCTAAATTGAATAGGCCTATAGTTTTTCTTCTCGTTAACTCGCAAAACCATCCAGGCACCTCTTCAGTGTCCTCTCTTAAAGATTTTATTTGCGCAAAACTCGTGTCGTATCGCTTCGTGTCCTGCATTAACGTTGAGAACCTGTAATTCAATGACTCAAATTAGATGACACTTACTTTATCAAAAAGGAGAAGTCCGAGGGCACAGACATTCTAAGCAGACGCGTCCTGCCTAATGATGAGCAGTGATGCCAGAGGATACGCGAAGTGTTTGATCAAACCAAAAATGATAGCTTAGTTATATAAGACGTTCGCGGTTAAGGAACGTGGTAATGATGGCTGTATTTCTTGCACAGCATCCCTCACTTGAATGAATAAATCGAATGACTTTTCAAGAGCTGTTCTCCAGTGGAGTTAGTCAAGGACGTTCACCACTTGCGCCACGTTCCTGCTCAGCAGCGTCGGTGGAACCCAACTATTGTTTATTACAGTGCAAATATTGCCGCTGCCTCACATATGTAGTCGTCGCCATCAGTTCTATCGTCGACAAAAAAAAAGAAAGCACATTACCTGTTTGTTTTCTAGGTGAGCAGACTTTGAAATAGGCGAAAGGCCGTGTCGGTGCGCTTACTAGTAGAGGTTAAATAGACGCTTTGTAGAACGAACTTGGAAATTATGGACCCTATATCGAATAGCAGGAGCTTCGGTTTTGTGGTTTGTGCGAACCCTGACCGATAACGGTCTACCAGTCGCAGTTGGGGTGCGCACCGTCATGTCACGTGATCACTACGTCGCACTGAAGAGCATCTTGAAAAACTGCCCAAATATTATTGTCAATAGATAATGTGCAACTGTATAATTATCCTGTCCTATTTGCTTGTTAATAGTAAATTTTTGCCGGGGTAGCTAGAACAGAAGTAATGATAGAAATGCTGCCATTTTGATCGGTGCAGTATTTGTCCCGGTTGGATTCCGCATCAGAGGAGCCCAGAACAGCGCCCCTATCGCATGCATACTTGGCAAGCATAAGGGCCGCGTGATTTGGGATCAACAATTGCTTGACAAAATCGTAGGAAGGCTTCAAGTGAAAAAAACGAATATGTCCCTTAATTTAATAGTTTGAGGAATATTGCCTATCCTGCAGAGGTGAACCTCTGATCGGTTACCATATTTTGTAGAACTTCTATTTTCAATAGAGGTAGAGATAGAAAGAAAAGCTGTTATAGCACATGTTGCCGTTTAGAAAGTTCACGCTCCATCCTGTTAAAGTATTCAATGTTGTTCGGCATATGCTGAACGCGTTTTTATGGCTAATTAGGGAAGTATATTTTGCTTACAAAAGACAAGGGTGAAAATGTCAACCTTAAATAGGTTCTTCGCGAAGAGTACAAACGTCTCTCGTATAGGATCGTGAGGACGACACGATGTTGCTAAGACATTGGCAAATGCCGCAACCGTGATACCGTTTCGACCTAAGTTTTGCGCTTGAAATCCACTTGACGTCATTCCTTAATATTAACCGCCGTTCCGTATTTGAAGAGTGCCTGTTTTGCCAACTGAACAATGCTTCGGAATAAGCATTAAACTGGTTTAGTAGGCATTAAACTAAAGATAATTTGGTACAACTCTTTTCGGCTGGCTGAACTCAACCAAATTTTCCTAACGTTATCAACGTAAACTTGCGGTTTCGGAAACGTTCAGGTTTGACGCTGCTACTATTAATGGCACTGCTGCTACCGACGATGATGCCCCGTGCAATGCATCTACAAATTTTATCCCGATAGATTTTTTACACTTGGTCTTACCTGATGAACATATCTGTGATGCACTCGAAAATCGTCCGATGGCACGAACGTAAAGTTAAACGTCGACTTTCTAAGTAACAAAATATGTCTGTTATATAGGTGTGCAAAAAGAAAATATCAAAGCATTGAACGCAAACATGTTTTTCTAGTCTGTCTACAGTCAACTCTACGGCAATAGCGTATATGTGAAGGATAGGCTTAAAGCTTTGAAATTCTTCTTTGTCTTCTGTTCGTCATTTCCATATGGTTCAACGTAAATATAATGCTTGAAAATATAGTTCCAGCTATTGTTAATGTATCAGTATTGTCCGTACTAGTTAATGATACCTATGGTGACTTCTGCCTCAATATGGCGGTGTAAATAGACTATAGATTTACGCTTGAACAACGAATCAACTCTTATACGTTCGAAGTTTGTAATGGACATAATCTAGCTACATTTTTATCCATTACCTAAATAAGGTACCAGAGAAGCGAAAACACAGATCTGGATTCAGTGGAATGGCTAACGCTTACGTTTTCTTACAAGCATGTCTTCATGCTTAATTACAACTGCGTTAGGTAAACAATATGTTTCGGCGGATGTTTGTTACTCCTTTTTGTTCTCCGCAAGTTAAATCGCTACGCAAATACGTAACTTGTTTAGATGAAACCAGTTTCCCTTCCGCGCGCCAGACTTTTTTCGCGGCTAGCGACAATGGCAGTAACGGCACCAAAATCAAGATATATTGCAATCAGCTCTAGCGCTTGTATGGCGGCAACGTAGCGAATCCGAGGCCAGTAATTGTTCAGTAATTCATTCATATGTTCGCTCCCTCGCTCACTCGCTTTCTCTGTGTTTCTTTCTTCCTGTGTTTCTTTCCCCCTGTGTTTGCTTTCACTGTTAAGTCATGCTTCCCCCAAAACCCCCTACACTTCACTAGCGGCCATACAAAAGTGACGCCTATGCTGCTACGGATAGACTAGATGCTAATAATAATATGATGACAGATTCTGTTTAGAGCAAAACGTACATGCGTACGTTTACACACGAAATGATGGACGCACACCCATAACATTGATCACATTGAAACATAGAATCCGTACATAGAGACTTTGAAGGGTATATAACATTGTTTGCTAGTAGTACCGTTGAACATAATGCTAAGGAGGTAGTAAGGAAGGTGGGGCAAGAGATGAAGTACGTTGATGAGGCTAAAGGTGAAGTTGAGGACGAAGATAGGTTGGGATTTCTTTTCTTCCTGCCTCGGTTGCTGTGGCCACAATGTAGTATTGTAATGTGGGACGGCTGTTGCCACCGCCGCTGCAGTCAGCGTCGCGGCAATTGCTTCTATATTCACTTTCTTTTTTCGCTTTCTTTCTGCTGCAACGGCTCTTATCGCTACTCCGATAGTTAAAGTTTAACAACAGAAGCTACAGTACATACCAAAAGAAGAAGACGACAAGGAAGACGTAATCATGACTCCACCACGCATGGTCTGATGACTGACTGAGCTAGCAACATCTATGGTGGACTAGATGAAGGCTTGTTTCATGCACGCCCGGCGCTGAGTGAACACAGAGCTGACTAGTACCACACCGCCAAGTCAATAGTAGCAGGCGCAAAACCGCGCACGTAATAGCGGACGACGGCGTAAAGCACTAGGACTGGCACGGTAGCAAACGTCGATCTGGTAGCTGAAAACAAATGTTCAGGGAATCTGATCTTCAAGTGAAAGACTACTAATCGTAATACTTGTCATAGTAGCAGTTATAGTAGGTAGATAGGTTAGTTTGCCGAAGATAGTAGGCACCGAAAGAGGGCACAAAACTAAATCCCTACCAACGATAGTTGAGACAAGGATAAGATTGGTAAGAGAACAAAATTCAGCTAAAATCTCTTTCGGGATGCCTTCGTGAACTCTTTCGGGATCTTATCGGGAAGCCTGTGTGGCGGAAAAGCCATTTACTTTTAGTCCTCAATAATAATTGTGTATCAAATATTCTGACTTATAGACAACTCATGTACGTAAAGGGCAGCGGCTTGAGTAATAACAACGGTTCGGCCTATTGCTTATTCTAGGGCAGAATATTTTCAAAAAAGACGTCCTCAAAAAATCTTGTTTTTCATTGCAAATCATAAAAGGCTGTGCCGGACCAATATGCTTTTAGTTTTAATTAAAAGTATGAAATAAAGCACAAAGATGAACGCTAGCCTAGTCAAATCAAATCAACAACACTGACGATTTGAGCAGGGTGTCACGCAACGCATGAGCACAGAAAGCCTAAGTCGGCCAAGAGGTCAGAGGTAATGCCGCCACGGAAAAAAGATATCTGTGAGTCCCGGATCTGGACGGGACAGGAAGAAAGGATATTTAGATAGGTGATTGTCCTGCTGCTTTGTGGCTGATGTACGTCGCTATTGACCAATAATGAGGAATTCATCGTGTGAGGAGAGAAGACATAAAAGCCGTAGCCGCCTGGAAAGCAGCGAGCATCACAATATCTTATAGTGGTTAAAAGGACCTTTCCGTTATTTCATCTAGAATAAAAGTCGTGCCTGTGTGCTACGTTCCTGATGCAAATGGGCATGGCGACAGCAGCGACACGAGTAAAGTACCGTATTCGTTTATTTATCTAATATAAAACTATGTCTATGACTCTTTTTCTAATGGCAACTTATTTATGCTTTTATTGGTACTTTTATTTTACCTGTGTGGCTCATTATCGAAAAGGGTTCATCGTGATAACAGTTTAAATACATCGGGTAAGGAACAAACTCTTGCTTTACTCTGAAGCGTTCTAATATATGAAACAGTTACTGAAACCATGAAAACGCGAACGTACATAGAGATAGACTAGTCATACACCGAAATACATTTCGATTTTATTTTACTAAGCTGGTTTTTGCAGAGAACTTTATAAGCGTTGTACTACATTTGCGTTGGTTCACTTCGATAGCTACATTTTGGTTTTTGCGTTATTTAGAAAGAGAACTAACTTTGGCCTAGAATCGATCCTAACATTCCTATTTTGACGCGTAGGCAGTAGCATGAAAGTGAAGGCGTTCATCTTAACCGAACCCAACGGTTTTTGTCTGACGAAAACGTCGTTTCTTATCGGAACTTGAGGATACGTCAAAATTTCGGAACTTTAAACATATTCATACAACTATAAGATAAGGCATGCACGTTTGAGCAGCCGATATATGCGTATCGCGCGTCGGCGAAAATTGGGTCACATATTTTGTGGCATGGATAGAAGACGTGGACTGTCGATTCTCCAATCTAACGTGCAGTGTATAATCTCAGTAATCAAGTATGTCTTTGTTACGTTTACCACTGGCTACATATGCAGTTTTAAGCCATTAATATAAATCTACTAGCGGCTGACTCGAAAATCAGTCTCTCTTATAGTCACTTTACATAGGACAAAATACTCTGGATCGTAACTCCGTAATTATAGATATCACTAAAAACTGCAAACACAAACGTCGAAAACCGCTTATCGTATGATGTTGTTTATTTTTAATATTATTGTTATTATGATTAAGACAATTTAAGGAAGTAGACAAAATATCTGTGAACAATTTATAATTGAGATATCATTGTGCCATTGTAGGGACACAATTTTCTGCTCGAACTTAATTAGAGCTTGTATTAGATAATGAGAATGGTACGATTGGCAGCATTACGCAATAAATATCGATCGAGCGCGCTCAGTTTCTTCTAAGCCGCGATTAACTTCCTGTTACATCTCAACTTCATCGTGATCTTATTACTTCACTTGAACGGGATCACAGTCAACTTTATAGTGATAAATCAGATTCAGGAAAACTTCTGAGATTCTAAAATGTGCTCTGAAAAAAGAGCATATTTCTTTATCTAAAGTTACACTGAAAATTATGTGCAAGGCCGTACATGCGTGTACGCGTACGTTCCTACATATTAATCCAGTTTTTTAATCGATTATCACGATCACTGTCGTTAGCATCATGTATTGCTACTTTCGTTAATATTTATTTCTTGTTTCCCAGCGTTTTTATGATAATTTCACATTAAACTGTTGATTGGACGGCCTGTTTCCTCTGTCCTCTTCTTCTTTGTCGTTTACTGATATACTTTATTGTAAATGTTAATTTTTTTGCTTTTATAGCAGTAGAGCTACCCACCACTGTCACCGCATCGTCGATGATGAGCTTCTTCGCATGAACCGGAGCAATGCAGAGGTCCGCTGCTATCAAAGGCTACGCCGATAAAAATTAGAAAATGTTGAAAGACACTGGCTTGTAGCGGCGCGTCATGATGAGGGAAGAATACAGCGTGTTAACTTCCGACGCCCATATAAGAAAGCTAACGATGGGCTATTAGAGGGTCGATTTGGGTAGTAACATTCGCGGGTCGAATATCAAAACCTTACCTTAGGATCTATCTTGTTACGCATATGGATAATAACATCCTACTATTCAATGTTTTCCTTATCATCTCTGCAGAGAGGCTGACACTGCGCTAGGGACTGACTATACGTACTTCTATAATAGAGTTTTCAAGCGGACCGGCATATTTTCAGCTCAAGGGCGAAACGGGAGTCGCAGTTGTAGTAGAACGTTCGCTCCATGCTCCAACTCACCCATCGATGCCTTTGGACATCGATAACATGTATTGCGTAACTGTTGTTAGGATGTGTGTCCCTTTTCAGTTAGTAAATGACCGCAAGTGACTAGGCAACCTTTGAAAGGCCGCCGCTATTATTATTTAGTTCCCCTCTTACCTTTACAAGTGGTGATGTCTCTACGGTTCTTCTACAACGTTGTCCGTTGCCAGAGAAGTACACTGTCTTGAGAAACGCCCTGACATCGGACTAACAACAACGGTGGCAGTAGCAGTAACAGTGTTATCTGGGTCAAAACAATTCCTCAAATCAATTTCTGGGGGATCAGGGAAACCCGCGTGTCCAACAACGCTAAAAAAATAGTAAGCCATTCCACACTGAAAGTGGCACAAACAGGCATCTTCAGTGAATGAAACGGAGATTCAAAGTATTTTGACTTAACATTGGCTCGGCTGTCTTTTCTCGGTGTCTCAGATCTATACAATCGAACCACCATACTTACTAAATGCTGGTTAGTATGATAGCAGTGATGCAAAAAGTGAATTTACCCTCAAGCAGTTTTCGCTTCTATGAAATTTATCCACTGCATATTAAAGCTATATTTAGTGTTTAGTTGCCTGTTGATGAAGTGCATTCTCAAGTGCAACAGAGAACGTTAACTTTAATGCCTTAGCATGCACTGGAGTTGGTGGGGGGATTAAAGCAAAACCCCCGGACAAGATCAAATGCTGTATAGGCATTTTCCCACCAGCAAACTAGAAGCAAACTACTCGTGTAACGGACGCGCATAAGCTCCAGCAGAGAAGTACAATTTCAACACGAGTTGAACGTTTAGAAATATGGGGGTGAAGCATTCGATTTCGCAAACTCCATCCTCCACTATTACAGTATCTATAACGACCAGCAGCTTTACGAAGTCGCATTAGCGAGGATAAGAAACGGCATACGACCAATAGCGACTAAGGCGCACTACTCTTCGACGTTCGGGTTCGTCATCATCTAAGACGGTGGGTGTGAGCGCACTACCGCCATCGAGCGATGGTCTCTTCCATCTATATATCAAGTCAGTCAGCCAGCCGAGTGAATCACAGACATCAATTTGGGTTGTGGTATGACCCATCTTCATCTATCTGGACCTGTGTGAAGGAAAGTTAACAGAATTGTTTCTTAATTTAGTCACTGATGCCATCGCTGTCACTGTTTTTGCGCTGTTCCGGTTATCGGCGATTGCCAACAACAATAGCTAGAAGCACGATGTCGTGATAAAATACGGCGTCTGTTCGACGACGTTGACGCTACGTAATGTAACAAAATGTTTTTCTTCTTATTATCCATAGTTAAGTACGTACACACGTGTCTACACCTGGACTACACAGGAATGCATACATAATACAAGCGCATACAACTAGATAATTATGGTACATAGTGGAACAAACTACCGAAATAGTGCAGTATAATGCGCGAAGACGAAGTATCACCTATAGTATGGGTATGTATGTTCCTATAATGCTCGTGTGATCGTTCCATTGCTTCGTTTGCTGAGCTGCAACCTTGAGAAGTTCAGATAATATTATATTATTGATGTGTGGCAGCCTGACGACTTTGGACGGCGACTTCGTTAGCGCGCTGAACAAGACCTTCGACCTTTCGACGGGGGCGGATTGGAGAAGAGACCTATTGCCTCCGAATCTGTCCTGTGTAATTTTTGGTGATGTCCTGATAGTATTTCTGTTCCTGCCAATACGCCAGCTGTTATGAGACGGGTTGTAACTGCTGCTGTTCTTGTATTTCCAGAAACTCGCCGTGTTCACTAATTCTATCGATTGCCAGGAAGCGTCGCAAGTGACTTTGGTCAATTCGCTAACGGCAGATGTTAGCAACAGCGGAAGATGGCGTTTCGATAAACGAGATTTCATCTCATGAGGTTCCCTCTCAACATTGTATTATTTCACACACATATATACACATCGACGAGAACAATATATAGGGTGAAGAAAATCTCGACACAGCTAAAACGGGAATCGGCTGCCAAAGAAGGCAAGCGTCATTGAACTAAACGGCAACTCTAGGCTCTCGATGAGGTGTCTGTCGTAGTATAGCGGTAATTTGGTAAGTTAGAGAGTTGTAGGTGGTCTAAGTGCGCAAGCAGAAATGGTCAAACCTCGTTTTATTATGGAAGGAGCCGACTTTTTTAAAAATAATTTTTAGTTGCCGAATCAGGCGTGAAATTTGAAGGCTCATCTACATCAGAACTTAAATGAGTTTGTTTGTAAAACTAGAGGCAAGCAAAAAAGCGACCTAGGCATTTCCTTAACTTAGTAATCTAATTATGCTCTTGCAGAAACATACATAGTGGTATAGTGCTGTGATTAGGTGCCGAAAAAATGCTACAACTATATACATTTTTTTGTTGTGCTACTCTGTCTATCTTGTTTACTGTTCTCTACATTCTAATCGAATTTTTCGAATAATATGTGTATATCGTTATATGAACTTAGCTAGCAGTGAAAAGTTCCACACAATATGCAGTCGGCAAGACACTAAGCTATGTTAATCACTATGCTGAAGTGGCTCTAATCCAAAAGTTTCTTCTGGTCAAGGACAAAGCAAGCTTTCCGTGTATTATTTCTGTGAGCACCCACGTAACAGCTTCAGAGATTATTTATCGGTTTTATTACTGCACTCCAGAAACAAATACTTGAAGATCAGTTAAAAAAAAAAACTAGGGATCGGATAATCCCATCTGGATCCGACATGTGCATGAATGTGCTGAATGTAGTCGTTTTCATGTAAAATCTTAATGCCCTATTAATAGTCTCGTAGTTCTATTCACAGCAGCCTTTTTTCCGACATTAGTCTAGTTTCTTCTAATGCCACGGCTCTTTGATCGTGTTCGGTCTCAATTTATACACCCATACTCTTCCGCGTTTTCTGTTGTCGTCGTAAATTTCGTCTCGTAGCAGATTCAAGCCAAAACGCTCTATTATATTGATTTTTCGAGGCTAATGGGAATAAATAGGATAATATCGAGGGTTGTTGGAGAAATAATGTAGTAATTTACATCTTGTTTCAGCCACTGTTTGCGTTCTGCGAATGGAGGCTATCTCGAGCGGAGCTGTTGAATAAAGCTCATAGCTGTTTGATCCAAGCACTTACCCACTTCATTCGCTTCAGCCAGGACACCTCCGGGGTTCTGTCTTTCAACTAGAGAGGCGGCAACGGTGGCTGACGGAACGAACAAAACGTGGCGATACATATTAGATGGGGGCAACAGCAGCAGCAGCAACGGTGAAGAAAAGGAGAAGGAGATGACAAGCAAAATGTAGTTGGTAGGCACACGCTGTAGCAGAACGAAACGACGATAGGCGAATGAACGAGCCTTCGTGCCAGTCGGCTAGCAACCGAACTTAGATCCGAGTATACAAAACGAGGTCCAATCTAGGTGGGAGAAGCGATGGAAAAACGCTAGAAGGCGATGCTCTTACAAGTAGGTTGCTTGGGAAAGGGTACAGGCAGCCGGCCTTTCTGGGAGTGAACACGCTCCATGCACAGACACACGCCTGAACGCCACTACGACATTGCCGACACCATAACCAATTCTATGGCAGACACCCAAATAAATATATACTAACCATCCCAAGAGTTTCCCTAGTCCAAAGGCAGGAGAGCGGCTTTCTTGCACCTCACGGCTTGGAGGCACGTGTGCAAGACGAACGTAAACAATGTCTTTTCATTGCAACAAAGGCCCATTGCCTTACTTCCTGAACATGATCAGTCAGACGGCTTAGCTATCTTAGGCGCTTCCCCTTGTAGAGCTTGCGCTTTTGCTGTTCTTCTGTGTTGCTTCTTGTATGTCGGTCTCCACAGCTATCGCCGCTCACTGCTGTTATATTCCTGCGTTTTGTTTGAGGGCTGCGTACGGGTAAGGCCCAGGCCTCCCCTCTGTACCTCATGTAGCTCATGCTGAAAAAGGTCATACAGCGGACAAACAGCTTGTTCTAACACCTATCTTTCTTGGCCTGATAGTCGAAACAAAGCGAATAAAGTTAAAAATACATTTGGCGTCCGCACCACTGCCCTCACTCCATTGCTAGTTTCTTTTGATTTGCCCTAATTCCATTCAAGCCATAGTTGGACGAATCTGAAACTGAAATGTGCTTGACACAAATTTAATATCTGTTCCGCTCTTCCTTGGGACACGGGACAAGTTAAAGAGGTGGTACGGAAGCATAAAACATACTTTTTTTTTGTATTTTACTTATTTTTTTCGTATTTTCATTTGGGTACTCAAGGCACTCGGCATTAAGGCAGATGCGTAGTACATACTTTCGGATGCGGACACACACACACATATACCATGCGCCCCCTGTGATCACTTTTCGCAACGTACCAGTAACGACTTAAGGAAGTGGTGGCCCAATATATTTCTAGTTTTGTGAGCCCAGACGGTCATCATGCATCAGTGACGACTACACCGCATTATTGTTACCTTCAATAAGCTAGATTACACACACTATTATACTATCATGTATGTGTGTTTGTAGCCGTCGATCCAAAATAACGCTCGAGTGGAACACGACACATAGATAGCTAGAGGCATACGTGTTATATGTAAGCAATCGCTGGAAAGCACTTTTATTACTTGTAATGTTTTTGTCCACCGATATGATATATTGTACATTTCCATTCTGGAATTGATTTAGGCCAATCAAATACACATAAACAGGCACGCCGTTGTCGCGACCGTCTCACGCAGAGACAAAACGACAGCCAGTCAGACGGACGAACTAATGAACGGACAACTGATGTTTGTGCGCTGGGTGCGCGCTGTACGAAATCACAGTAGAGATTGGGCTCGTCTTTTCTTGCCTTATAATTGTTTGCATTACGTACAGATGATTTGGCACGACCGGATGTCGAATCAAAGCTAATTCAGCCTATTATATACCGTCGTCTCGACTACGTGCGACGTATCCTGGTTATTTACATCAACAACCATTAGCATCATGATCAGAAACGGTCTTTGCATCGACGCCGTACGCATTACGTTGCAAAAAGTCAACAGTCAAGACTTGAAGATTGACTTCCTATAGCAATTAGATTGCGTTGTACCAAATGCATTAAATCATGTCTTGTTCAAGCTAGCTGACAGTAATATCTAGTTTTTATAGCGCGGTTAACTTGTCCAAAATCTGTATTTGCTTCTTTCTGACAACCTCAATAAACGCTACGAGCTAAGCAGTATTAATAAAAACCATGCGGAGGCGTCAGCGTATACAAGTTGTGATGTTTTCATACACACCCAATGGAATCGAGCAGAACGCTCGATTGAGGTAATAAGTTATATACGTTGCCGTTGCAGAAAACGCGGAAAGTTAGCGTCTTCTCAACTAGCAAATAATTAGAACAGCAAACGATATCATAGGTTATTTCAGGTGTGTCTCGACGGTCACAAGTGTTTTAGGATTTTGAGATTGGGCTCTTCTGAAGCCATTCAAGCGTATTCCTTTTGACTTGTTGCTTTCACGCCTGATCCTACTACAATATTTATCATCAATCAAATGGAACGGTCACATAGTTGTACTTTGATCTTGCGTTCAATCAGAGCAGAATCACAAGTCTACTGCGTACTTACAGAACGTGTGGTGGTCATAAGAAATGAGTAAACCAGAGCTTGCTGACGTTGCCCATCGTTCTATTATAGTTTAGCTGTTTGCAGTGTTAAACCAGTATCAGCCTTCCTATTTTCATAATGGCTAATATCTGCAATAGTAGGTGCTTGCCTTGCTCCGGAGCAGACTTCGGTTTTCTTATCAATGCATTGCATGGACGCGGCATCAGCTGCAGCGGCACGAATAGTTTTCAACGGTTGGTACCAGTGGTACACCAGCACCAGCAACAGCAACAGCAGTTGCATATTAGCGGTATCAGCGGCAGCGGCGGTAGTGATGATGGTGGCAGCAGCCGACTCAGTGGGTCAGTCGGCCCTTCGCGCGTCCGCCCTCTCCCCTCCCGCTATGGCACGGCATAGTGAGCGACGACGCGGGAGCCGGCTGTTAACGCCAGCGTTGTGCCACAGTTTGCCGTGAAGCAGCGAACGGAACGTGCGTGGAACGCAACGCAGTCGCATTTAACACGGTGTTCAGTCCGCTCACCTATCGTCGTCTTGATCGCGTAGTAACAACGTAGACAAGGACAAGGCAATGAAAGTTAAAAGAAACAGGGAACAATTTACACTGTAGAGAAAACGAAAACTAAAAGGAGGACCGACAGGATAGTGCGTTTCGAAAATAACAACAGGCCTCTCCTTTCGGGAGGAACTGAAATGGACTAAAACAATCTTCGAGTGGCCAGTTAACAGGAATGGTGGATTGATGTTGATTGCTGGATTCGTTTATCAACCCAATCTCCTTCACCTTCTCCCTCAATGGGTTACACCGTCCCTGAATCAGAAATCGGTGAGAAAAACGTGTTCTAATTTGCCGTTCTGTTTCAACGATCTGTACTTTGCAAACTTTGACGTGCGTTGTTCGGTCAATTTGTCGTTGTAAGGTGTTTACGTGCGTGCGTGTGTGTATTGATATGGTGTCGTGACATACTGCGCCCCCTGCGCCCCCTTGGATTACATGAACTATTTTTTCTTCAAGATTCACGAACAATGACAACTGCTATTATCAAGGACACCGCTACCAAGAACGAACGCTGCAGGGACCATTTTAATTCTATCAGTGTTGCAAATGTACTATAGTTTTAATTTGCAATAAGTAGACAAACTGGACTAAGCTAGACCTGTTGAACTTATTTTGGATACCTGTTAGATCATGTACTACGAAAATTAGAAAGGTATGATATATCATAAAGTCATCGCTTAGTTTCCCTCTTTTTCGTGGGCGGCACAATCTGCTTGTAGATAATTAAATTTGTAAATAGTGGTGTAGGTTTTTTTCAAAGCTAGATATTTATCGTTGATTTACCTTAGATTTTCACTGGCTACCTGCAAGCCTATCTCCCCCATTCCTATCGTGTTCTTTTTTTTCAACATACGCATGTCGGAGAAATCAACATGAATATATAAGCACAATCATATCGTCGGTAAGTCTATTAATAAGTAACTTATCAAAAAAGTATTGGGGAAACTATCTCATAGAGAGTTGATGAATATGTTTTCATCTATTTGGTGCTGCCGCTGCTGCTGGGCTGTTCTTACTGCTGTACAGCTTTTCATTCTACAGCTGATAGTATCATTCATTCGTCTCAAGGGCCGCTGCGCGCTGTTCCGCGTATCGGTTTGTCTGTATGGCCGTGATGTGCTCGAAGCCTATAGCCTTTCCCGTCCAATGACAGCCGGTCCCATCGGCACTGGCTGTTTTGTGGCCGGACTGTGTCTACGACTCACTTCTATTTAGCTTAGCTAAACAGCCTAGCTTAGCAGTAGCTTTGCGACGTCGTTCGTTTGCCGTGACCTCGGTGAAGTTCAAGCGGAGACCTTGGTCTTGGCCGGGGACACTGGCGTTTGCTGCTACCCCTTCAATACCGCCCATTGCCAAGCAATGTAGTCATTTACTGCCTTCAGTTAGTTCGTTGCAGCAGTTTCTGCCATGGACAGTTAGATTTCTGCTTATAGATGCGGCAGCAGAAGCAGTAGCGGCAAGAACACCAGCAGCAGGCATACTGCCACTGCGGCAATAGCTAGGAAATACCATGGGTGCATTATTGCGACTACAGAACTATCATCATCAATTATAATCATCACCACCACCACCAGCATTACAGAAAGGTGTTTTCATTCGCGTGTGGTCGTCGCCTGCATAGCGCTACACACAGTGACACAACGACCACGAATAACGTTATGGAGCTTACTATACTATAGAAGTACTATGAAAAGTAGCATTAGACAAAAGAAAAAATAAAACCATGGAATGACATTTCCATCGACTAACGTGTAGGTCATGCTGCTACAGTCATCAGCTATAGCTACTAAACGATCGGAACTGCTGGTTCTGTAGCTATTACTAATGAAGTTTAGCTGGCAAATGGCGATGACGCGCTGCGCCCCTTCATGAAAAAAACCGCTATGTGCGACGACTTCAGAAGTAAATTTTCCTGTGGTAACGAAAACTAAGGGCCACCCCATTGCTTTACCTCTTCAAAGATATCGATGCTCTTGCAACGGCCTACAAATAAGCGGAAGTCCGAGAATCGTAAGAATAGTAGCCGTATGTCTACGTAGAACTGATGTATTATGCACCAGGGCGACTTTGGGGAGAAGTTACGGCAAGGTCGACTCATAAGCAACGCGCCCGCTTCTAATCGCACTATTGGTAAAGTTCTGCATGGTCTATTCAGCCGAACTATAACACTACTACACAGCATGTAAAGAAATTTTTTACTTTCGGGTTCAAATAGGTATTGCCTCCACTTATTCAGCTTAGAAGTTGAACCTAACGACACATGTTAATGCCTAAATGTACATTGCTTAATTATTACGCACCTCAATAAAGCTAGTCATGTAATTCGACGAAAGAAATCACTACCGTTTAAATAACGAATAACTTCTTTTTATTAATTATGAAGTGAATGAAAAAGCAGCTCGTTCCAATTTCAACCGTCGGCAATTCGCAAGATACATCAAGCTGGGCCTAAACAATTTCGCAAAGTTTGTAGAACGTACCTAATATCAAATTAATCTTCACAAATTAAGCCATCGCAATGTAATATTCACGTCAATGAAAGCTGTCAGTTAAATATCATTAAATTTCGCTACTCGTTAAAACTTATAGATAGAACAGGAAGAACTTTTAATTACCATTACACATTTGTCATTGACTGTAGTCTTCTTCAAAGAAAAACGAAACATCTATTTTAGCTTGGTTCACTCTATTACAATGATAACCATACATTTTTACTGCCTGGCTAACAGGAAAAAAAAAGCATTAAAATACCACGACACACAATTCGAGGCGATGATACAGTCGCTGCTCCTACTCCTACGGCTTATTACTACGATGGATTACAATGTTAATAACAGCAACAATGGGACTGTTTTTGTTGCCAGTCAAACGAGTGTCGACAGGCTAGCAGACGATTATGAGCGCAAGCCGCGAGCCTAGAGCAAACGCGAATGCCATATCACCCACTGGAGAAACGATGGTTCAAGAGCAAGGTCTTGCGCTCGTCATGGCTGTTCCAACGCGAACTCTACTCATACAGCATCGTTTCCGTTTCTCCAATTGAACGGAGGAGTTGAGCTAAAAGCGCTAGCAAGGACGACAACGTATTGGTGGAACCAAGCGCATGAGTCTGCTTGACGTTTGTGACTACGCTTGTAGTTATGGCACTTGGCGCGACCTGTGTTTATGGCTATCGGTACGTGTGTGAATTCGTGTGTATACCTTCAGCATCGTTCATCATGATTGGAGCCAACGGCCTGGCTTGCGAGAGCACTGTACTCGGCTGTTTGCCCTTAGGGGTCATGGGGCGCCGATGGCGTGCAGTCAGTCAGTCAGTCAGACTATGGTCGACACGTACACACACACATAAACCAGCAGGACTCAGATCGCTGCGTTTGACGCCGCCGTCTGTTGTAACAGTACACTTTAATAGCGCCTAAGGCATAGTTACGGCGACCGCATAGTCTTGCCTCTCAAACAGCCCAATTCAACGACGAATGACATTACAACAAACGCTTAGTGGTATCATCGTTGCGAACGCCGGTCCAAGGACGTTTGGGGACAGCGGTAACCTAGCCATCATTGGCTTGAAAAACGGCAACTGGCTGTCTTGTGTGCGTGCACAATGGGAAGCTAAAAAGGATCAAATAGTTGTTATGATTATACGCTATAATCAGTTACTTTTACGTGCAACACCCATGCAAGCCACAGGAGGCTAAAGCAAATAAATAAGGGGCAAAAACTGTAACAGACCAAGCTTGAAGGAAAATAACGTTGTTAGCTTCGTGTCCATGGTTAGACTTTGCCATTGTCACGAAGACACCACGTTACGCATGTTTACCTTTTTTTTTTTACCTTTGTTCTTTCTGCAAAACTAGTAATCATCGCAAGCTATCGAAAACGCGTCACTGCGCTGGCGACAGTGGCGTTTAGGGAAGTTAGCTGATACAAAGGTATAGCGAACTCAGGAATAAAATCTCTCATAGTCCAGCTTTTTCTACTACTCAAAAAAAACCAAAAGTTTCCTACGAATGATCCAGTTGTTGTGAACGAGTCCAATAAGAACATAGATCCGCTGATTGCATGGCACAGCCAAGTTGCAAACACAGACCAGAATTATAATTCGCGTACACATCTTTCACGCTTCTAAATTATTCACACTGTATGCAGACGCTACAATGTCCGCGAGGAGTTTCGAAGTCAAAGTTAGTGGACTCACTTTACCTGAGTTCGTCCTTCACGTCGTCCCTTACGCGCCCAGCACGTTGGTTGCACATCATTGCTATACAGCACAGTAAAGTTGTACGATTTTTAAACGGCTGACGATGAGAGCATTTGTTCATACTGTAGTGATGTATAAGACTCCGATTTGTTTTTGGTGCTATTTGCATCAGCAAATGTTACCAAAACAACATTCTCTCCTCGAATGAAGAGTTGTGGCACGAATCGTTGGAAATCTTTGGTTTGAAGCAGTTCGTTGCGGAGCCTTCGTTTCCTCTGTGACGGCTTTGTTAACTTAGATGCTGTATCGGGACTGCTTTCCACGGCCTTGGTGGCGTTTCGCTCTGAGTTTTCACAAATGCTATCCTGGTTAGTGTTGGCGGCATTTGCACAAGGCAATATGCTGGCTAGATCTGTTGCTGATGTTGTTGCCAAAGTTCCGGTTATCTTTCCTGAATCGGAGCTAACACTAGTGCTACTACAATCTGAGCTAATTTGTTTACTGATTTCTAAATTTGCTGATGTCAGAAATGCTTGTTCATTGTGACTTACTTCAAGCTTTGTTAATTGTTCGAGAGGAGTGAGGGTCGGGCACTTTATCGTTGCCGGGCGCAACAGTACCAGTTCATCAACATCAACCAAAGCTATATTTAAATGCTTGTCGAAAGCTGCCACGAATCCAATCAGAATACTCCGAACTGTTGTATGGTTTCGCACCCACACCTGAAATGCCGCCGCATGAAACATCAATGAACCTGTACTACCCATTGTTAACATCTATCAACATCGTTGCTTTATAAAAATGTGTACTCTTTATAATCAAACTCCTCAAACAGTCCTGTTTCTTTATGAACTGACTTGAGAACACCACAGCTACGAAGATACATTTACACTCGCAAATATGGTAATTAATTATGAAGACCAATAACGATAGTATAGTTTAGATGTGCTTGTCTTTTTTGCCGAGCGCCACGACAGGACCTGCATTGTTTGCTTATTCATCGCTCGCTCGTTCGGTGCATCTATATATATATATATATATATATATATATATATATATATAAAAATATATATATATAAAAACTGTTTGCCATGACGAGCGTGCATTCATCTACTGCTCCTGGTACCGGACGAAAGCTAGTTCTTTTCAGAACAAAATAATGAATTGTCGGCGCATCGTTTTTCGGAATTCAACCGAAAAATCAGCTTTTACTCGACTGTATGAACCCCACATTGTAATTACAAATTTCCTTTATTACCTAATGGACTGCCTGCATTATTGCTAGTTTGTATGCGGTTTTTTTCAGAAAACTGAAGGAAATTCCTCTCAGTTTATCTGATTGAAGGAAGATCCTCGCAATTTATCAAAAGACAAATTTGTAATACACAAAGATTTTTCATACAGTGGTTTTAGAGAAGAGAATATCCATTGCCAATTAGGTAGTCTAGATCAGTTTTAATGACCAGTCCTTTTGAAGCATTTTATACGTTTCTACACTTTTTTTTTGGCAGTTTTGGCCCCTAATATATTTAGAACCCTTTTATTAGCGCAAAATTAAATTTTGCAGGAATTTTTGGTGTAGCATAATTGGGTGACACTTCATACCGACCAATACTACTTGATGCACGATAACTATTGAACAATTATTTTCGAGAAAGGCAGGATATTCTGAGTGAGTGGTTCAAGTACTGGACTGAGCATATAATCGTAGCGAGTGATAATCAGTTTGGAACAAACATGGTCATCTTTTTTTTTTTTTTTTTTTGTCTAGCTAGGGCCTTACAATCAAACCATTAGGAAAATTCTCACTTTAAACGTGTTACCCCGTATATACATATATGTATATATAAGTAACAGCGCGTCTATGTTTGGCTTGTGTGCGGCGTGTGTATGCTGTTATAGTATTAATCGTTAGCGTAACACAGGGCAGTTCATTACCGCGCAGCAGCGCGAAGAAGGAGACCTACCTTTTTTATTTGCCACTACCGCACTGTTGCTTGCCTCCTGTGTTGCCTGGTTGAATACGCTTACTACTGGGGAGAGGTTGACCACTGACCAGCGACTACGAGCACTTGAAAGCTACAAACGAGTCTAAAATCTCAGCAAGCAGCGAAGGCAGAGAGTATAGGGTGCAGCAGCGAGGTCGTTTGGCGATACTAGTAGCAACATAACTATGCGGGCCGCTGCTGTTAATGAGGCTGCCGTTAGCGTCTTCCAATCGCTTGCCATTGTCGTCGTAGTCGGTGCAAAAGAATATACGGCAATATCACTTTACCGAGCGAGTGCACCCTTGCCGCTGCGACTACTGCTTGTGCTTGACAGAGGGAGCAAATTCAAGAGCATAGCGTACGCAATGCTCGGGGTCCTTTCAAATCGTACGAGCTCACCGGTACGGTGGCGCTCCTAACATCAGTCCGCTCACATGAAAAGAGACAGCAGCAGCGGCGGCGGTCGCGGTGGTGCTTGTGACAACTGTGGCAGGCCTAACTCCTATTGCTGGTCAGCCGTCCACCGCTATCCACAACAACTTTCACCAAAACCGCTACTACTATCGCTAACGTGGCAGCCAATATCATATTACTAGCACCCTGCTGCCATGTTGGTCGCAATGGCTATCACCATTATCAGCTTCATGATCATCACAGTCGTCAGCAGCGTAAAATTTCCCCACGAACTAGCAACTTACTCATTTAGTAACTGGTTTATAATAGATAGCAAGCGAACAGGACAGGCGGGTCAAACGCCATGATTAAAAAGACAATGAATTGTAGATTGTAGACCATAGGTAGATTTTCAGAGCGACACGTGTGCGTTACGCGGTCGGCTTTCCGCCAGTTGGCCAATCCGAAGACCGATACAGTTGCTTAGTGGATGACTAACCAGCCAGAAAGCAGCAGATAGTCTCAGACAGAGAAATCAACAATGGGGAATACCTACGGCCAATATTCCAACAGCAGCAGTTCCAATCGCAGTCATAATCCCTGATATATGTATGACGATTGGTAGTGATCGTAAAATGGAGTGAGTCTGTTTTCAAGGGACGCACGCGCATTTGACGTTGCTTGACGGCTGCCTTGCTCGACTAGCGGCCGCGCTAAGAGTTCGGCCGAAAACCGTTCCGAACCCAGAAAAAAAAGCCCTTACTAGTACGATAAATGTGTCATAGATGATAATGATGATGATGATTCATATTTTTTCTATTAATTAGCTAGCCATAGTAATTGAGGCTAAAAAGTCTATCCGTAATCTGTCGATACAGTTTTATTATCTCTACGAACTGCACAATACGCTTATTCCGAGCTTCGGTCACTTGGTACGCCAACAGGAACCCTCCATTACCACCATAGGGTAATTCCATCCCCAAGAATATGAACACGTTACATATTTAGATTATCTATAAACAAAGGCAGCCAAGAAAAGCAATCTAAAAAGGAAGCAACGTCATTATGGGGAAGAGAGCGAGAAGCAATCACTTGTAGGCTATGCCTTTACTTCTGGAAGGTGACAAAAGGATAATTTCGGGCAATTTTCCTGAATTCAGTGAGAACTTCCCTACATATTCATTTACGAATTACTTCTTATTACGTACGAATTATCGCATACCTAAGTAGCTACTTTCATATCTACCTTTCCGTTGGGAAAGACACTATAAAAATGAGAAAATTGCTAAGACACAACAAAACCAAGTTACGTGACTGTCATAGATTGTGGGTAAGCTATTTCTATTCTGAGAACTGCAGTGCTGCACACATAGTCCACATGTGGATGTGTCACACGAGGCAAGCAGGCACGATGCTTGTGCTTACCTTAATACGAAGACGCTGCGTCAAGGCCCGATGCAAGATTGAAATTGGTCCATAACTCCACTGGTCGTTGATTTTGGTTAAGAGAGTTTGTTTTTGCTTCTTGTTCACTTTAACATTCGTTGCCTAGAAATCATCAAATGAATCTTGAATGATGGCTTGCACATGCAGCAACGCCACCCTCGTCGCTAACCTTAGCAAAAAGATGCAATCGTTGTTGCTTTGCCCTCAAAGCCTCTAAAACTATTCTAGAATACTATTAGCATCACTTCTAATTATAATCACATGTTATGTTTGTGTGTACTAGCAAAGCACATGTTTCATTGTACATTAGCACATTTTATTAAACAATCAAGTTCACTATCCTTGTTATAAGATCAAGAGAAAGCAACAGTTTTAACAAAATAACGGTGGTTGATTGTATTCATTGTTTCAAATACCTGGACACGAATCGTTTAGACGGTCAAATTATTCATTGGGCAATAAAAAAGCTTCAACGAAAACACCACCAATTTTCACTTACTCCCAACTATGAAACACAACCAAACAGTAGAAATAGTAATAGAGAAGAAACAATAAACGGATAGTTGTCATTTGTATGTATGTTTAGTCGAGCATAAAACAGTAACAACACATAGTAGCCAATATTCCATTTTTCACTTAACTGCTCAAGATATAATTATTATGAGTTTACAGACCGTAAACAATCACACCTAACACAGACATCGGCCTTTGCAGCTTTTGCGAAGGTCCATGTAAGAACATCTATGTAAATATTGTTTCTATCTATTTAGTTTCTATTTACACGTACTATCGCTTGCCATCTGTACTGTGTTCTGCTATATCATATAAGCTAAATACGTACTTTAGCCTATATGACAATGCATAGTTAATAAGGTGCCGACCGTATTCAATTGAACGCTCCAGATTTCGTTTTCGAAAGATTACTGTATTTAAGGTCAGAATCGTAATCTAAGATCAGGCAGAATTTCAACTACGCTTTAAAATTACCGTCTTGTGAAATATTATCTCTGTTTAGTTATTTTATCGTAAAAATCACTCCCGTTGAATAAACATTCAATTGTTGTGATCATTAGCTCGATTGTTTACATTATTATAGCTGTCAGTGACAATATTTCATATGGTTACCGTTACTGTTTTTCATGGAATACCGCACCGTCTAATTTGAATGAATGATGAGTCAATGCAAGGCGTATGCAAAAGCTAATCAGTCCGATCTCTTTCCGCAGTCGGCCGGAGCTACTTACTCGCCTGCTGCGTACACAAATATTCGGCAAAAAATTGAACTTTTCTTTGTCGACTCCTTTTGGCTCGTTGCTTAATACGGTTTACAGTAGACTATAACTGCTATCTGTCGTATGGCCTCGGCCTTGTCTTTCACGTTCTCCAAGCAATTATTATTCGCTACCAAAGTCATCAGCAGCTTCTGCTTTTCTTCTGTTACTCTTGCTACTCATCGGTCTGGTTTCTGCCGGCTTCGTTGTTCCTAATCAACAACGTGGACTGGTTCATTCAATTAGAATATCTTCTGGTGATGACTGCTGATGCCATAAGTATCTCTGTCGTCTCTCGCTCTCTCTTGTCACGCTGTATATAAATACCATTTGCTACTATGTAAGTATACATATATAAATAGAAGCAACTATTGTGACTATACCATTGTTGGGTTCAGGCCAGCGATGTTACTGCGGCTAGGGGTCATATCTCAGGTTTTTTCGCATTTCGAATGCACTTTCTCTTCTCTCCGTACTATGCGCGGCCATTAGACCCTGGCCGTCATACCATGAAAAGTTAAATAGTACCTTAGATCGTGGCAACACTGACCCGCAGCATTCAGTGTTATGTCCCGTCAGCGTACTGCGGCCCCTATTGTTCCTTTTGACTCAGCGAAGGGCGGACGATCTCGCCTTCCCAATTCTGTTATTGACAATGATGTAGGCTTCATTAGAATTGAGAGAGCAAATTAGCCAAAGGTACTTATGACAGCGAACGCTGTGTCTTGATTTGATTGGTTAGCTGATAAAAAGTTGGATTGTGCGTAGTGGATGATGGCATAACACACATTGCAACCGACGACTTACAACTTGGTGGCATCGCTTAAAGGGCGATGACGCTTGCATTACTGCTTGTGCCATCCATGAACCACTTCAGTTGTTGTTGTTGTTGTTGTTGTTGTTGTCAGCTTTGCGAACTATTCAACTTTCCGCTAGCCAGCGAGATGCCACGTTACAGCTCAGAAACCATTAATTATTCGTTAGTTTAATGAGCAAGTGACAAAGTGAGCGTATGAGCTTCCATTGCCGCTATTATATGAACGTTCGGATCAGTTGCTGTTGTTGTTGATCCGCCGCATTAGTTCGCCATAGTTAATGACCTTATGGTAACCTCGACTATTGGCGATAACTGCACAGACAACAACAACAACAACAACAACAAAATCGGGACTCTGGCCACTAAAGTGATAATGCTGGCTCAGTTCTGGGGCCGTTACGCCATTTGCACGATAGTAATGGGCGACCCAATAAGGCTCACTTGTAGAGCCGTGACGATAAAGTGGCGTGAGCGTAAACGATTCGTAGGAAAACAGCATTGAAATGTCCTCTACTCCCACGTCGACGTACCTGTTAGTGCATCCGTATGTATAGACATCTCTTATGATGATGTTGTACATCTCTAAGATGATCAGCATGATTGACTCTACATCAGCTTTTCGTTCTGATTTGTAATTAACCCAGTCACTATTTAATAAATGGACCCAGTGCAGGCTGATAAAATGTTACGGATTTTTGGCTTCGTATACATATGTATACACGTCGACACCTGCAATGATACAGTGAATCAACCGTATTGCGTCTAGCTATTGTTATTGCACTACCAACCAGCATCAGCGCCATCACTACGAAAAGGTCCATTACGGGCACCGTACATCTGTCTGTCCGTCTGTGACCGTCGCTATAGTCGCAGACGACCATCATCATCCTGATGATTGCGGCTCCGGTGGCCTTCGATAGCGGGGCCAGCCTCCGTCGCGACCGCTGCCACCGCCTGACGCCATTTATTACATTTACATTATTACTGCTGCCGCTAGCACCACGACTATGATGTATATTTGTATATATATACCAGGGTTACATATACATATATATATATATAGTGGCACTATAATGAAGTGAGCTTTGACACTGAACTTGGCCTGCTCCGAGCGGATGGAGCCGTTCACAAGGGCGCACGCTTTGAGGTCGTGCACAGCGCAGCAGCAATCGAACGTGTTATCAGTGTAGTACATAGTAGTCGGCCAACGTCAGTATGAACGTGGCTACATATTCATACAGTTTTTTTGCTGCATACTGCTGTTGCCGTTATTGCTGGATGCGACTTACGAATGAACTGTTCACTGGCGTTAGCAGTAACAGAAACGTGAACATCAGAAGCAAGCAGGAGCAGCGCGACGAAATGCGGATATTCTAACGTGACGCCTTCGCTCGAATACCGACATCATTTTGTTGTTTAAAACATACACACCCGCAGACAGGCCTGGGTGCCACACTAGTCGTCGAAATGGTGAAGTTGTACTATAGTCTTCTGCTGCTTCTGTATTTGCCGCAGCTCGTCGAACAGCCGCAGCAGCAGCAGCAGCAGCAGCTGTGACTTCTACTAGAGCACAATATCATCAAGTGTTATGGCGGCCTGCGATTTCATTGCAGCTGGGATCCTTCCATGGCAGCAACAACTACAGCCACGATCGCTACGATCTTTTCTAGATAACTTGTTATTGTCTATTTCAAGAGTCAATAATTTCAGAATCATTCGAAAAGGGTGGACGGTGGTAATAGGGAAGGGCCGACTTAAATAGAATTAGCGTACGTAATTGATATAACTATTATTATTGTTATTGTCATACTGTGCAACAGCAGCGGAAGCAATAGCAACTACATATATCGGTTCTGTGCAAGCCGTAGATTAAAATAATGACACTATTATTACACTATATTAATCCATTTGTCATAAAAAAAAAAATGCGGAGCGATGCTATTTCGTCATCAGCAGGAAATGTTTTATTAAACAAACACAGATTAGATTCTGATCTAAAATGCTGAGGCAAGCCGAGGTACGAGGTGAAACGATGCGAAACTTCACTCTGAGCGCACTGATTAGAAAGTACTGATTGTCTATTTACCTGATAAAAATAAGATACATGCACACAAATAAAATGGCATGCACAATTTTTAGCTGATTGAAGCCAGCTAAAGACCTCAAATCTGTCCTTTTGCTTAAAGCAAATTTATTGTCAATCGGTATGTCGCTGTATCAGCTATAGTACAGCGTCAATTTGGAACGGACTGGCAAAAAAAACTATACTGCAACATTAGAGTACATTTTCGCCTTCCGCAATATGCAAATAGCTGAGCATAAGATATAAACACTGCACTGAACTTAACAGTGATTTGGTTTGCTGTAGTTTGCCAGGAAGCGTTATCCTCGTGATTATATAGTTTTTATTGAAATAAACCAACAAGGTAAGAAGTCATCCGCTCACCGATAACAGAGATGCAACATGTCATCTTTATATTACTAACTACTCAACGTAGCTTATGTGCACAGAATCGGGTAAATTGTATTTTATTTAGCATTTTATTGGTAATTCATCGGGACCAAATGACAAAGAGACATGGTATACCTGAACTCAGATGTCGATACGCGGCTCACCTGGTAGTTACAGTGTGTCAACGGCCAAATATCCTGATCAAGATAAGCGATATTATCGATTCGGAGGCTTAATTTGCATGTGTCT